CGCGCGGCAAGGAGGCAGCGGCGGACATGGCGCAGATCCGGGAGCGCGAGTTCCACGCCCTGCTCGAGCATTTTTGCGATCCAGCCGCATACCCGGACACAGAGACGCTGAAGAGAAACTCGCTCGTAGAGAAACAGACCCATCAGGTCTTGATCGGGCTCGTCACGCCCGCACAGTTCCGCGAAAAGGGCGTCGAGCCACCGGACTGGCTGCGCGAGCGAGCGCTCTTCCGCACCTTACCATCAGACCACATTCGCAGTGATAATGATCACGGCGAGTCTTCATCGGGCTCGTCGTCCACCGACACCGACTGGGCGGCGGCGCTGACCCGCGCGGACTCGCCCGTCGCCGCCAGGGCCGTCGTCATAGCAGGACTGACGCAGCGGTTGTCGCGCGCGCTGGGTATCGCGGCCGAGGAGATCGACCTCCACCGCCCTGTCGCGTCCCTGGGGGTCGACTCGCTGCTGGCGATCGAGCTGCGGAATCTGTTCGCGCGGTCCTTCAAGGCGGACATGGCCGTCTTTGACATCACGGGGGCGGCGAGCCTGGAGGATCTGGCGGGGTTGGTGGTGGCGAGGAGTGAGCTGCGCAAGAAGGAGAGTGAATAAATTGATAGACATAATCAACACAGCCGATTGATTGAGGAGGCCATTGTCGTGGAACTGTCCTGATAAAGCCATCCATGCCGGTGTTTTGAAAGAGCTCTCTCTCTTTCTTTCTCTCTCTCTCTGAACATGAAATTTCCTGCCTCTATCTAGAAATTTCAATTCCACTTAACCCATATCGTACATGTACAGTACTTTGTTCGTTGATATTGAAATTTGTCAGCCACCAGTCAGCATAGAGGCAGTAGTTCTCTGGTAGACACATAGCAAGACGCTGATAAGGATCTGCTTTCCCAAACACGCAGTAGCTTTATGACACAGATGTCAGCAAGAACTCATAGTGTACAATAAATATATGGGGATAGGGAACGCAATGGCACTGACCAATTCCAGTACTTCTGTACAGTACAGTAGTACATGGTTAATAGACATTGTCGTAGCATTAGCATACTTCTTGCCCTTGGGCTAACACTGTGCCATCTAAACTGTATCTTTTGCATGGTACTTCTCATCTGGCATGAGTGAAATGCTGTCGGGCTTCATATGACAGTTCAGGCGCTCCAGGAGTGTTCTTCAAGGCAGCCTGACGAAGAGACTCCAGTGCTGCATAGGAATCAAAGCTCGGAGCTGGTGCCATCTTCTTTCGCTATTTAATTTATCAATTTGAGATGACAGATGATGGGAGATGGATGATGGCGATGGATGATGGAACGGGTGATGGGAACGGCGAGAATTAACTACTAGCTCATAATAAGGTCTTTAGTAAAGATATATTAAGAATCTCTATTTAGTAGCTTCTAGCCGCTCTAGACTATATACTAGTAAATCTATTATCTTATACTTACTAATATGATTGCCAGCGAGTAGCCTCTGTTATTAAGGAGTGCTCCCGTGCCCTGGAAGCCTGGAATTACGCTCTATTGAGAGAAGATAGGGAGAATTGTACTCCCCGCGAGCCCTGAGAGGAGCCTGGGACTACAGAGAGGGTTCTCATTGACCCTGCGACGTTTAGTTGTCTCCTTGAGCTATCTGTCAAAAGGAAACGTAAGATGCGTTTCAACCGAGTAAATCCGCACCGAGTATGGCCGATACAAAGAACACCGCTCCGAAGCCGTCTACCCCTGAGATATGCTTATTTCAGTATAGAATTAGGCCTGTGAGAGGTCTATAAGAAGGTCTATATTCTCAGGAATTAGCTAGAAGAATTGAAAGAAGTCGGAATTTCCCAGAGAATTGGCTTACTCAGTCCGAAAGCCTAGAGAATCTCTGACATAAGTCTAAAGGGGACTATATTAACGATGTAGAACTGTAGGACTAAAATAACCTATTTTCTCTGCAGATTAAATAAATAGATAAAAGTCTCTATAATAGATAGACCTGCTCTGGGGCAGTCGCGGTATTTAGGTTGTAAAAGAGAGTAAAAAGAGGCAGGCTAAGAATTTAGCCTCGACATGGACATCTGGGGAAAATTACGGGAGATCTTCTCGATTACAGGCCTAGTTCGACGAACAGGTAGAGATAGATGTTAGGGGAGATGATGCGACTGAGAAACATGTCATAATGGCCGGGATGGGAGCGCGACCAGTACAGTCAACTCCCGTTATAACGATACAATCCCTGCCACAGAAAATTATTGTTATAACGGGGTTATCGCTATATCGAATATTATATAATCTTCCTAATTAGGAAACCAAGACTGTAGAAATAAATTCATCAAGTAAACCATCTATCTAAGGATGACTAGGTCTTCCAATGTGACTATCTCTATGACAATTGGCGCTTCTACTACTCAAGAACCCATATATCACTTTATTAAGTATCATCCTGGTGTTCTTTATAGTCTAATAGGACTTATAAAGCCTCTAACGCTTCTGCTATAGAAGGATCTAGTATAGTAATAGTTCCTTCCTTAATCTCCTCCTCCTGTTCTAGGTCGTGTGAATCTGTATCCATTTGATTAATGTAATGTTATATAAGACTTATAAGGGGATCCTCATTTTCATCCATTGGAGGAAGATTCTCGTCTTCTGGGTTTAAGAAGTTTTATAAACTCATTATATTTTAGATGCGACTAGTCTTGGAGATCTTATTGTAAAGTGGCTTAAGGCTTGGAGCTGGTTCAATTGGGAGATTTTGGATTTGAGGCCGTATAACTATACTCCTCTAAAAATAATTATAGATTATTATATTTGAGATATTATAGAGCTAGGAATGGATAGCCCAGTGGACTATATAATGTAATATAACTATAGAGAAAGGATCCCTTGATCGCTCAAGCTCCTTTATAATATATTAAAGCCATTACTTCCGGTAGTAGATCTTGAAATTCTAGATGATCCCCTAATCAAGAGGCTAAAAAAGACTTGTCGAATTTACTGGCAGCCATTAGATTCATATATTCTTAGGAGGAGGAGCAAGTTTAATGCCTTAATAGATGGGCTGAGAAGTTATCCATAAGAAGAAGGACTATATGACTCCCAATATAGGCATAGAACTTAAGAAGCCATTCCTTTATAAGGATACCAGTTATCTAAGCCTTCTTATTAGACCTCTAGTAACCTCCTATAGCCTCAATATTTAATCCTCTTAGAGAACGAGGCTCCTTTACTGTTCCAATAACCCATAAAGGAAGCTAATCTGTGCCTATATAATTTGTACAGAGAATAAGAGTAATTTAACACTTATCCTTCTTGATTCCTAGCTGATTTTATAAAGAAAGACCTAATAAAGGGGCTCTCCTCCAGTATAATCCTGTCTCATCCATATTATAGATATCTCCCTCTTGGTATTCCCCACATAATGTTTGTATGGCCTTTATCTCATCAAATGCAGCTTGGTCAACGGAGGCTGCCTCGCCGTAAGTTGCACGGAATTATGTATTATGGCGTTTCTTAAACCGTGACAGCCAGCCTTGACTGAAATCTGGGATAGGAAGGTTTCGATACTCTGGTATTTGAGGCCAAATCTCTTTTGCTTTTTCGATAAGGATGTCTCTAGTGACTAGCCCGCCTCGTTTCTTAATAAGCTGTTGCCAATCGTATAAGATATTCTCGAGGATCGGCCAGTTAGGTGGTCGCTGGCGAAGGAGGTTTTCTTGGGCGGCTCTTTAATATTAAGGTATTTATAATGGTCGCTGAGGCATTCAGAGACTGTAGATTGGCTAATTCGATGGTTATATCGCTGGAAAAACCAGGTGATGCAGTCTTTTTACCGTGGGCGAGGATATTGACGCTGAAACCACTCTTGGAGGGCTTTTCGCTGCGAATCTAAGATCCCTTGCCGTGGCATTTTTCAGCTTCTGATTGGTTCAGTATTATTCGTTATAATGATAATTTGACCTGAGGAATCCGATATTACGAATATCGGGAGTTTTGGATTTTTGTATGGAAAAATAATATGGGCGTGGGAAAATTATCGCTATATATGCACTGCCACGCCTAAACCGCCCCCACTGGCTCAATGAAATCGGCAAGTCTCCGACGGGGAGGAGAGGCTCGGCCGACGTACGAGAGCCACACTCGCTAGCAATCCGCAGATGTATAAAAAGAGCCGCACCCGACGGCGACCAGAATCAGTATACGGAGTATTATATACTACCTAGGTATGTACCTAGGTAGCCTCGAACTTACATATTCCACCAATAATTAATGGGATGAAGTAGGCGGCACGAAATAGAAACATGAGCACAAAATGAGCCACCGTGGCAACTCCGAACATTCCCATAAACGCGTAGCCCGCCGTGTCCGACGGGGTATAAGGATAAAACTCCACCCACGGTTTTGTTCCATTCGTTCCATTGTGGAATGTGAAATCCATGGGATGCAGCAGACGAGAAGAGAAGAGAAGAGGACGAGATTGTTGCTGGTGTTAGTAGGCCATGCTTGATCTTTTTAATTTACCATAGACTTGTACTGCTGCCTGCGTGGCAAAGGCCATCCGCCGTGAAGGCCATCGGACGTTGAGTTGATTACTGCTTTAGGGAATATTTGAACGAATACGAGTGGGGCAGCACGAATAGATTGGAAGGAAGTAACTATAATTTATAATTAGTAATAATGATCGCGCGATACGGAGCACTCTAATTGCAGCAAGTGGCCGCTCACAGAACTTTCCCCCCAAGCGTGTGGACGCCGGCTCCACTGATCTGCCCGCCCAATATTACCCCCCAGTATGTACGGAGTATCTTGTTATCATGTCTGGCGGCCCCTAGCTTCAGGCTCCGTGAACGAATTCAATTCGGGTGAGCTCTATAGAGGTATCCGTATTACAAAAACTACCCTGTAATGAATTTAGAAGTCGATTGTCCGTGGAGAGAACAAGGGCTTCAGTGAACGCGACTGTGCAACTGTGGCTTAATTGACTGGCATCTAGATATTTATCATGGTCATAATTTACAAGTTTCGATGCTCTCCCCAACCCTCTTTGCATGCAACCCAGCTGCCCGTTATCAGAACAAGATTATGCAGTCCCTCGTCAACGGAGATCGGCACACGCGAAGGTGACTGCACCATCTGTACAGCCTTTCGAACCATGAAATGGCGGTGGTAAAGAAGATGCCAAAGAAAGATTGCCGGGTGAGTGAAAGGCCCGATCATCTAGATGGATGCTCATTCGGGACATCGAAGCAATCACAACATGGCGACGAACTGTAGGTTTAATTATACTGAATGTGAATCGTTTCTCTTCAGATTCTGCAGCTGACCGAGACGCATTCGATTCGTTCAAGGTGTCGGCCTCGTCCTTGTTGCGTAAAATCCACCTGACAATCCAAAAAAGGCCGTTCTGATCTCGTGCAACAAAATCGTAGCTGCCATCATGGAGACGAGTCCCTTCCCATGAGGGTCCATGCTTGAAGTATATTACCGAGCCACGACCCTGATAAATCACCGCGACCAGTTCGCTGCGCGTATCACCACGTGGAGCCTCCTCTACCGAGCCCCGCCGCGTAGTTTCCAAATGAGAATATGACTCGCATCTAACCACGATCAGGTCATTAGACCCAAGTCCCTTTTTGACAGGAAACTCCTGACTCCTCGGGGGAAAGACATCCAGATGAAGGACGTTGAACACCGGAATGGGACGAGTTGTAAAGGAAACTTGCTGAAGCTGGAAGACTAATCTTGGCCGAATCCTGAGTCTTGCGTGACGGCCAGTCGGAGGAGGACATGCCAGTTGGAAAGATACTTTGAGACCTGACCTTGGGTCAGACTGATCCATTGCAAGTACACGTAGAAGGGTCGACAATCGAGGGCTCACGTAGTAAATGGCGGCGTTACGCGATGTTAAAGGTAAGAATCTTCCGAATATATATATATATATATGATATCTCGCTAGGCACCTACATTTCTCACATTTAGCGAACAATTTCGTGCCCTCGGGACGCCATGTATCATGATTCAACTCGACAACCAACTCGAGAGCACCCCGCTCCACAAAACCAGAACGTCTCTGCTGTACTCTGGGTGGGAGCTCCCGGCCAGGATGGTGGGCCGGCACTCTTTTTGAGCAAGACGCCCCCTGCTGGACGATTGCCCCTCACGTAGTATCTAGGGAAATATGTCGACGAGATTATCCTCCCGGTATGGTCTTGCGGTCACGTGATTCACACCCCGGTCGCACGTACAGTATGTTCGGTTAGGTATGGCAATAGTCGATTCTTCAGTCCTTGGGGTGAATCATACCAATACTCGATCTTCCATGTTCAATTTCTCCAGTCTTTTTGATGTAAATCAGGCCTGTTGTAAATTTGTTTATCTCTGCTACTAAGAGGCAAGAGAATTCGCTGTGGCGCGCTATGCAGTGGATCCAGACTAGTCCACTGCTAATGAAGTGGCCTAGAAAAGGTTCAACGATGATACAGGGAGTTCTGCCAAGCATAATGCAAGGTTATCAAAGCAGAATAATCCAGATGTCGGCTGGAGTGTCACCGTAACCGAGAATGGTGAAAACGGAACGAATACGAGAGCATTTCTTCCAACTCACCCTGCTTCCTGGGCACCGAAAATAATTGCTATGATGGAGCAAGCAATGAGCAAAACCAAAACCAGATCGCGAAGACCTCATTGCAAGTCCCGCCTAGGATGTACGAACTGTAAGAGACGCCGGGTCAAAGTAAGTGGTTTCTTTCCTGAGTCCTCACCTCGGTGGCGCAAACTTTCTGGACGGGCTTCTGCCAGGAACGCCAGCCCCGAACTTCTTATCATTTCTGATGGTTCTGAAATAATCACTCTTCCTCGTTCCTCGTTGGAGGGTGGGCTAGATCTCATGCTGAGCCTTGATCAGGTGACCGGGCGGTGAGATGCTGACTGCTCGCAGTGCGATGAGAAGAAACCCGCATGCTCCAACTGCGTTCAGCGCTCAATTACATGTGATTTCTTAACTCGGATCACGGATTCTGTGTCACCAGCCGCTTCGCTACCCGGCGTGGCATCTGAAATGGGGTCTTCACGATCATCAAATCGAAGATATCGTTTCAAGCCATGCCAATATCAGTCGCATACCTCTCCTTCATCCAGGTCGCCAGACAGTCAGGCTAGGACGTCGGTAGGGACTCAGTGTGATCTCTCAGCCAGTCAGAGCTTTGGGGCAGTACAATTGACTGATTTGTAACTTTTCCACAACTTCACAACGTCGACATACCGCACCATAGCGGAAGATGCCAATGGTTACGCTCTATGGCAGATTCATGTTCCTCAGTGGAGCTTTGTCTTTACTCCCGCCAGAAGGTGCTCCGAGATCCTGAGACCAAAGCAATTCGGAAGCTAGAGACTCTATACATTGGCTATTATCTTGAATTGTCTTTGTTCACAACAAGGCTTGAAACGAATGGCGACAACATCCACTTGCGCGATGCCGATATCGTGGTAACATGGACCGGGGACGGCGAGCTTGATGAACTGCGTTTTCCCGTTAAGCCAGCTTTGGAGGAGCTCGAAAAGGTCGTTGTCGTTTTACATCATAGTGCGACGCAATCGTATGACATGGGCGACGAATGCTCGGCCTGGTTTTCTGCACGTCTAGGATTCGAAGTCAAGCTTGTCTATATCGGTGACCGCTCCAGGGCGGTCCTTGGTTCGATAGCACCCAACAGCGAGGCAGCTACCCAGCGAGCGTCCTTCGCAACTCGACTACGTTCGCGTATCCCGTTCCTGGCACGACCGGAAGAGCGGCTGGCGTTCAACGACATAGCGCATTACCTTGTTGTGACCGAAGAATCCAATCAAGAGGTCACGTCCCGTCTACAGGACGGTCTGGAGAGATGGACATCACCAAATTCCGACCCAACATCGTGGTCTCGGGGGCCTCTGGTCCTTTGGTTTGGGGCGAGCTCACGTTCCACGGTGGAATCAAGATGGCCTTGACGGCCAATTGTTACCGATGCCAGAGCATCACCGTCGACCATACGACCGGAAAGACCGCAGATGACGACCGCGGTCTGGTCTGGAAGAAGAAACTGAATAAGGATTGCAGGGTCGATCCGGGCGCAAAGTATAGTCCCGTGTTTGGTCGCCATGGGTTCTGCCTCGGCGAGAGCAGGGACGAGGAGCTTTACGTGGGACAAGACGTCGTCGTTACGCGGTATAATGCCAAACGAACCGTTTTCGGTCAGTTCTTCCACCAGGTATTATTTCATCGACCAAACTGCTAACTGAATCCTTAGACTGGCCTAATCTTACCAGTTATGGGCGTGCTTGATGAATCACTACAAAACTAAGTCGTTAACGTCCTTCAGATATTTATTACAAGAATCTTTCTCGAAGGAACTGAGTTTCTTTGCTCTGGTTTACAACTTACCAAATTCTTTTACTCATCACAGATGTACAGTGCAATCGTCACGTTGTCGCCCGTCTTTACAAAAAGAATCTCATGAAAGCTGAGTTCAGATTGGATGTTGGGTATTGTAGTTCTCCAGCATTAAACAAAGTGTGTATGCTCGGGTCTTCAATGAGTCCAGGAACATCCATGTCTACAGAGTTGATGAGCTCAACGCATTACTACTACCACAGAGGGCCACATACAGCTTATGGCCGCGAGAAGCCTGAGGAAGAATAACGATGATGACGATGATTACATATCAACAAGGTATTCAGAAACAGTTCGGCGGATTGGTAAGAGCATGGGTTTGTAGATTGTCAAAAGTACACCAACGGGTATATCGGAAGTCATCCAACAAAGTCCAGAAATATTTTCAGACCAGAGAAGAAAAGATGGACACTGTAATAAATTGTAAAGACCATTGGAAATGACTCGTCAAAATCCAAACGCGCCTTCTATTCATCCACAATAATATAATCCGGATTAATTTTCCGTCAGGATTACTGGACCTCGTGTGGACCCTTGATCTCCGGAGTACGATAATATGTAGGCGGTTGGTGCCACTGTTGAGTTTGCTCCACCGGTGACGGTTACTGATACCCCGGGCCGTATCCTTGCTGAACCGGTGGTGGTGGCATGTACGTCTGTGCCGTCTGCTGCCGAACGACGGGTGCATTGACATCGTAGGTCATCCATGGCTGCTGGGTTGACCACAGTCCTCTCTGCTTCCTGCAACCAATAACGAAGACGAGGACAAGAAGGACAAACGTGACCCAAGCATCCAAGACGCCGTCGACAACAATGGTGTACTCAGGGGTGATCCGTTTGGGAAGGAGCCATGTAGCATCATACGCGAGGTCCCAGGTGTTGCGGAGGAGGAAGAGAATACCAGTGACCAGGAAGAGAACGGCGGACTGGTCAAACGGTGTATTAGCTGGCTGGGCACTGATTTTAGAAGTACAGGTGGACTACTCACATTGCGCAGGATGATATTCGCACTGCACTTAACCATCACAAAGATAGAAAATGCCAGAACAGCGACGGAAGTCACCCAGAGAAGAATACCAAAAGCCGCCGTCAAGCGGTCAACCGTATAAAACTGCTCGAAGTCGAAGTCTGGAAAGTTGATATACCCCCATCTGCCGATCGTGGCAGCGTTATAAAGACTGGTGCGGAGAGCTTCGGCTCTGCCAAAACGGGCGAACGTAAGAACAGCCAATACAGCAGCGATTCCAACAGTCGTAAACATAATGATCTTGTGACCAGCAGCTTTGGACTGACTCGAAAGGGAGAGGAAGCTCAGACCTAGGTCAACGAGGCATACAAGGAGGAAGACGTAGGCAATGTTCGAGAATAGAAGGTGAACGTCATATAATCGAGTGGTGATCTAATCCAACGTCAAAAAGGTATCTGGATTATCATATTCGTCGACTTGTTGTTCGATGAGATAGGCTGCATCTCCTATTACGATGGAAATGAGGGCTCTGGAAGGGAAGAATAATATCAGCGTTGACCGACATGAAAAATTGCGAGACCAGTCATACATTGTGTATAGAGGATAGACCACCTTCATCCAATGAAAAGGTCGGCGCACCGGGTCATCTCACTGTCGCACGAAGCAGAAGCTCAGCAGCCAAATAATAGCGAGCGGCTTGATGAGAATGCCTTCTAGGACCGCGTTGGCAATGACCCAACCGTTGAGTTCTCCGTAGTAAGCCATTGCTTGAATCGCGCCTGCAAGAAACAGCAAGACAAGTGGACTAAGGCCACCGAAGTGCCACCAAGAGTTATGTATTCAAATTGTGCTGTATCTTAGAAGGACAGAAAGAAGAATCTTCCTGCCTTGGGGTTTATTTGAGATAAGATACGGAGGACAGTCAAAACCTGCGCATATATGTAGTAAGAATCTCCCCCTAATTCTGGCCAGAGCCCTGTACGGAGTACTCCCGTAGACAACACAGCTGAAGTGTCTGACGATAGCCAAAGTTAGAGGCGTATGAATACGAGGTTGTTTGCCTTGTCAGGTCAACATGCGCCATATCCTGCGCTACTACTGGTCCTCTGTGCCGGGGCAATGTCCATATGGATCGCAACACGAACAACTCCTCGAATGAGGCTCAAAAAATTCCGTAGGGCAATAGACTTGGGACTAACCATCACGGGAATAATACGAGGCTCCCCTAGTTCAAGCGGAATGTCCTTCATGAGATCCTACCACAGCCTCAATGCCAAGGTCGGCATAAACTTTTTAGACCTGCAGTTCATGGTGCCTGAGTTTCGTTTGCCTTCTCTAGGATTGACATTATTTTAGATGGCTTTTGAGATTTGCTCACCATGGGCATGCCCCGCATAAAGCAATAGCGTGAGACTCTTGGGCATGGGTAGATCTAACCCCCCCCCCCTACCATGTTCTAAGCTTCTAACTAGCCGCCGATCCTCTGCCTTTTCGAAAGACCAGGTCTATTCGACAGCGCCGGTTTATTAGTGCCTACCAACCCTAGTTTCCTAAAGTTAAATTTACTCTGGAGTAGTTAACCGAGCAAAATCACCCGATTAAAAAAGGCAGTAACTATGGTGAAGTAATTAGCTAAAGTGTTACGAAAACTCTTCTGGGTTAGTAGTGTATGTCGACATTCCAACTGTCCTATCCGTCATATCCTCGCATCTGTCATTGTGCCTACTGTACTGCTATGTATGTTATGCCTCCTCCCAGTACTTTGGGTCTAGGCGAATGTTGCCGGCGGATGCTGCCATAATCAAAAATTCATCAACTGGTTAACTAAAATCTATGAAAAATCTGAAAGAATGACTGATGGTTAGAACTGACTCAAGAAAATGGAAAAGAAAATAAAAAAGAAAAACTAGGTATATTATTATGCCGAAATCTAGGTGGACATCGATCTGCTTCCACATGCTTCCTTTCTTGTCTTGGATAATATCCGTTTGCTTCATGGGGAAGCCCGGGCTTCTAGCCAGGTGCCCACAGAATGTCCAGAAATCTTCATCTTCATAAGTCAAACATTATCAGAGGTAGAAAAGATGGTCAGGTATTACATGTATGTTTATGTACTAAGACAAGGCCTTTGGTTTATACAGGCAACCCAACTGTAAATATGCTAATAATATTAGCAGATATTACGACTAGTTCTTATATTATTATCTTTCTCTACGCTATCGTATACTCTGTAGGTGAATATCGTCTAGGATGGGGTCCCGATGCAGAGATTACAAAGGTAGATAGAACGGGGGGGAAAAAATAATAATAATAATAGATACGAGATTCTAGGTTAGTCTGATCATGTTAACAGGTGGCCATCTTGATAGCATAAAACACCAGCAAATCCACTATCTTAATCCCGTTTTCCTCTTTGTTCGCACCCGATGACATGTTATATCGCTCTATGCACCACGACTTTTACAACGCCCACCTCCACTCCGGCAACCCGTGGAAAACGACTTTCCCCTCATCCGCCATCCGATTCTGCCTCGCCAACACCAACCAGGTGACCAGGCAGGTGAGGACGAGGCAAGCATTCAGGGCCATGGTGGTTGCCAACCCGGGCAGATACCGCGGGGCGCTGCGCTGGTGTAGATGGTGCTGGCCACGATGCCCGAGATGGTCCCGCTGCTGATGTTGAGCATCGACGCGATGTTCATCTTCGCGGATCCGACGACGTTATTCTGCCCGAAGATGAGGATCGCCGCGTTGTTGGCCTGGCAGGACGCGATGGCCAGGAAGATGCCTGCGTAGCGGGCCTGAACAGAGAGGGGGGGCTGGCTCATTACTGTGGATGTCAACCTACCGAGAAAAGAAGAAAAAAGGAAAAGAAAGAAGGCAACATACGAGCAAGGCCCAGAATCCCCAGGCACGTCTGCACAACAATGATCGGCAGGCGAAAGTGGAAATAGTCTCCTATAGCGCCGCCGATGATCAGAAAGCCCAGGCCGACGATGTACGGGGGAGCCGAGTAGAGATTGGCCATCAGACCGGTGTACCCTGCGTCCTGCTTGTTTGCTAGAATGTGCATTATATTAAATTAGACAGGGTACTTTCCGTCAAGATGGTCGGCACAAAGTACGCCAGGCCGTACACGGCGACGACATTGCAGAAATACATCCACGTTGCATAGGGTCCAGTCTGTCCCAACGTTAGTAGTATCAGAAATTCAATTTTTTTAATAGATGAACTAACCTTTTAGATATTTCAGGTTTTCCCAGGACAGCTTCTCGGTCGTGGCGTCGCCTCGATCGGCCCGGATGCGGTCGATCACCAGCTGTCGCTCCTCCGGCGTCAAGAACTTGGCCTGGTCGGGGAACTCGTCAATGACGAAGCGGATGAGCAGCCCGATGGCCACTGTCGAGGCTCCTTCAATCTTTATACCCCATCAGCGATTGTTCTTTGTCCAAGTCTCGACTCACTGACCGTGTAGATCCACCGCCAGCCTCTCCAGCCCCGGTCTCCACCCATCAGGCCTATGGCAAAGGCCAACACGCCCGCGAAACCGCTCACCACAAGGCCGATGCTGTACAGCAGCGCCACTCGTTTGTGCACCTGATAGCGCGGATACCAACTGGCGCAGAGGAAGATGACAGCGGGAAAGACGCCCGCCTCAAAGAAGCCCAGCCTCAGACGCATGCTCGCTAGGCCTTGCCAGTTGTTAATGTGGCCTTGGTGAAGCAGCCCATTCCGATGGTCAGGATGGACAGTGTGTTGGCGACCTGATCATCACATCACCTAGTCGTGTTTCGACGTCTTGAGACAAGATGCAGGACAGCCTACCCCGAACTTCACCAGAGACCGGTTTCCGGGAAACTCTCCACTAGATGAGGACACTCAGTATGATAAGGATCAAGAGCAGTTTGTTATCAGGACTATACAGGAAATACGCTGGAAAGAACAGCAGCAAGGCGACATTGTATCTCACGCCCGTCAATTCAAGTTCCTCACTCATCCCAACTACTTTCGCCTGATCGCTCATTAGCATATAGACTCGTTCTGTGCTGTCAGTAACAACCTACCTGGCCAATATTGATCCGATCAATGACGGACAGACTGTAGACGACGCCAACGGCCAGAATCAACCGCGCATCGATCTTGAGCTGCGTCCGGAAGGGAATTTGGGGCAACTCGGGCGGACGCACCTTGTCTGGGATGGAGACGCTCTCGAGCGCCATCGCCTCGGCTTTGTCCGTGGAGGCGGTTTCGATGTCTTGCATCTTCGTCGAAGAGCGGTGATACTCAAGAAGGAGAGAGAGAGGGGGAGAAAACAGAATTTCCTCTATTCAGATATTGTCTGCTCGATATCAAAAGGTGTGTTGTGTATGTATATACAGTACACTACTTCTCAGGATCCCTCCTGTGTCTGTTTTTTTATCCATGCTACCCGCATTATGTATAAACCGCAGTAGCTGGGCTCAATGCCAGCCAGCTAAACCCTGCACGCTGTCTCGTTTAGGAAATGCATGCATGGCGGGTTGTTGTAATAATACCCCACAACCAACATTGCGGGGAAAGCTATACTATACTAGTAGTACTTAGCAAAGCTGGGGAAGCTTCTATGTTATGTTATGGTGGAGTTGATGCTAAGGCAATGCAATGGTTTCGTGGGGAAAGGCTCGTTCGGCACAGTTGCGGCACGACCCTATTTTTTTTTATTATTACCCCAGGTTGGTGGGTGGGAACTTTTCTTAGTCTAGAAACCCAAACCAGTGAGTTATGTATGTACTGTACCTAAACATTTCGGCTATGATCCTCCGCCGGATGGTCGGAAATTCATGACTACAAATATTGTATTCCTGATCAAGGGAAATGAGCTGGGTTTTCTACAAAGGCGTGGCGACTTACTAGTCAAGGTCCTTTTATTTGAAGTGACGCATAGGGACTGTAGTGTGGCTCAAGGTACCGTGAAATTAATTCATGGGGTCGTTTTCGAGTGCAGCACAGTAACTTAACTGGACAAGTTCTATTCTAACAATGCGTAAGAACAAGAATCGTGCCGAGGGATTTGTTGGAGTGCCCTGTTCCTCCAGCCGCATTTTCTGTCTCGAGGGGAACCTTTTGAGTCGGCCGACTGACTCCTTTTTTTTTGGACGAGTCGGACGTCATCAATAATTACTTCCTATCGTGTACAGTACAAACATTGACCCTGTTAGAGCACTACCACTTTATTCCCGTGCCTGTAGACGGAGCAGTGAGGGAAAATAATATATTGAAAGCACACCAACAAACTTTTTTTCAGTCAATATTCCACCACCTTCTCTACTGTGAAAAGGCAGGTAACATGAAACAAAGATTCTTGGTATGTACTATGCGTCGCTCAGGTATTGACTTTGTCTGTCATGGGCCTGACGTAAGCATGGAACCCTACCTAGGTAGTATTCCCCGAGTTCTGTTCTGGTAAACAGGATAATCTTGATGTCATAATCAGAGCCGGAACTCAAGTTTGAGGCTATGATGTGGGTGTTGTGTCAGCCTTTGTTCGAATCGAATATAAATGAGCCGGAGAACGACAACCTACAGACACTAGTCGGTCAAATCACGCCTTCTAATCCAGCAGAACAGCTCTCATTCGCATTGCTCGCTTCTACCTGTCAAGTCAGGCCCATCTTTATCGGCCTGACTATCCCTCCAGATCTGCTCCAGTTTGCTAGTGCAGCCTCACCGAGAGCCTTTTATTGAAAATGAAAAACCATATCACGCCAGCGCTTGCGCAAGACCTTAGATCTCAACTGGATGCCAGCACCAAACTTGTGACACCCAGTTCCCCTGATTATGGGACGGCGATTATGCGGTGGTCGGACACGGCGGTCAGACCTGCAGTATGTATATACGCTAGAACTATGAGGTTATAAGTGAAAACAAGGGCCAAACAACTAATAGATGTATATGTAAAAAAAATGTGTTATAGGGCGCCGTGGCATTCCCTCAGACTGGAAATTTGCATCCCAACACCAGCTCGATCTTGCTGTGAAAGGTGGTGGGCATTCAACCGGCGGCACTAGTTCATCTGAAGGTGGGCTGGTCATTGATCTTGCCCAGATGCGGCAAGTCACAGTCAACGAAGAGGAGAAGATCATTACTGCTCAGGGCGGTGCCCTATGGGGAGATGTGGACAAAACAGCAGCCCAATACGGCCTTGCCACTGTGAGTGGCACGGTTAGTCATACTGGGATCGGGGGCCTTACTCTAGGCGGTGGTTTTGGCTGGCTAAGTGGGGAGCATGGGCCCGTAATTGACAACCTTGTTGGGGCAAAGGTTGTTATTGCTAATGGGGAGATCCTCAATGCATCAGAGACTGAGAACCAGGATCTTTTCTGGGCGATCCGTGGTGCCGGTCACAACTTTGGGGTGACCGTGGAATTCCGGTATCAAGCTTATGAGCAACCGAACCCCATCTATGCTGGTAGACTGGTGTTCAGCCCGGATAAGTTGAGCAAACTCATGAATGTGCTCAATGAGAGGCATTGGAGCCCCAATCCGAAAGCTGGCTTGCATTGCATTTTTGCTAAACCATCATCAGATGCGACGGGCCCCAAGATTAATGTGGTCCTCTTTTATAATGGAGATGAACAAGCTGCGAGGAAGCATTTCGGTGGTATATTTGACCTGGGCCCTGAGACTACGAGCCTATCATCGATCCCATACCCTCAGGTGAACGAGTTACTAAATGATATGGCCCGACCCGGCGGCCGAAGGGCATTAAAGGGCGCCACCTTCACACCTCCTATCCGAATAGAATTCGTGCAGTGGCTATGGGAAGAATTCACCAGGAAGCTCCGCGAGGAGCCCGATCTGGACCAGGACAGGACATTTTTTACCATTGAGTTTTACGATATGACCCAGATCGCTAAAGTCACCGTTGAAGCAACGGCTTTCCCAACACGAGGCTTCTACCAAGGAGGCATGCTGGGAATCACCTGGTCCGACCCCAGAAAAGACGACCAATTCCGGGAATGGGGCCGCTATTTGCAATCGAAGTGCAGAGATGAGATCAAAAAGATTGTTGCTCAGCCACAGTCTGGAACAATACTGGAATATGCCAATTATAGCGAACGTAGGAATCAACCCCCTCCCTTGAAAGAGAACTTTTATTACGGGAATTCTTTTTTGCTCACGCAGACAATAAAAAATAGCTGGCGACCTGAACTACCATGCTCCATTTGGTGTGAATCAGAAGAAACTGGCTCGACTCAAGGCCAAGTTCGATCCGGCGTGTCTTTTCCACAGGACCAATCCGATCACACCGGAATTCGACTGACGGTATTATTATTACTCCTGCTTAATAAATTTAGGTGGTGGGATCTTCAACCTTTTTCTGAAAGATTAAAACACTCGGGAAAATGGATCTGGTTGTATCATTTTGTAGTTGTATGTACAACACAAGAATGTCCTTCGAAGTGTTCATTTGTTTGTTAGTTACCCCGCAAAAAAAAAAAAAAACAAACTTATGTAGCCCGATTCCAACCTCATGGGTTTAAAGAAATTCTCTGAAAAAGGATTGATTGGATACGTCGTTTAATCCATTATCCTTGTATGGGAAGGACGGAGGAGATTGTCAAACGATCAACCAAAACCTCGTCTTTCGGGGTCCAAAGAGTGCCTCACTCTTGGATGATCGAAAGGATTATTCTGAAAGAAGACAAGATCTCGCAGTTGACTATCAAGATCTAAAGAAAGCCAAGTAAAGATAATGGTTGATTGCTAGCGTAGAAGTAGCAGTGTTTGGTAAATAAGACGCGGTAGAAGAAAGACTAGATACATGCTTGGGTTTGAGGCCATATTTGTACCATTCCTTCTCACTACCATGATAACTGCCATCCTAACTGCCATAGTGGTAGTTTCCTGGGTAGTTCCTGTGGTAGTTACTACCTTTCCTACTACCATCTCGCTCTCTGGCTCGGTAGTTCCGTTGGTAGTCATCACGTGACTTCGATCAACTGTTCTTCCGTGTCTGGCATCCACGCGTTTCACGTGATCTTTCTTCACAATTAGGCTCTCAATCCTGTTAGTTGCTGACAGAGATCAGGTCTCCGTAACCTGGGCCTCTCAGACTCCCTCTGTGTTGTTTTTTTTTTGTTCGATCTCTTGAGACTCAGCCTCAACCTTGCAGATCAATGAAATATGAAAGAAAAGAACGCCCTAATTAGGTATTTATCATGTACTATTTACGAAAAAAACATAACCTATTTATGGAAATTATGGAATCGCAGAATAATAATAATAATAGCATATGTAGCATTCACGTAGCATACCTATGAACAGTAATTAGGACCTCACAAGGAGGAGGCTCACCAGATAGATACCTATTCTAGCTAAGACTTGCCAAGAAAAACAGCCCAACTGGCATCAACAGGGATTATCATTCGGCAACGCGCATCTCTAGGCATCCTCCGTGAGGGGAGGATTCTCTGCATTGTTCGTATCTTGCTCCAAAAAATTGACATCCGATTCGTCATCGGACCAGACGGAACGTTTGCCATTTGGGAGGTGATGGACGTCCTGCTCATGTTAGTCCCGTGTCCGTCGCAGGCGATGAAGTTGATGCTTACCAGGTCATCTAACGACTGGTCCCAGTTGTCAGGAGGGAAGGTAGACTGCCGGACACGTACTTGACCACAGCGGTACCGGACGACGATGATATGTACCCCAAGAAGCCCCGCCTTTCTCGCAATCTGGGTGAGAAATCTCAACATGATTGAGTCTAAAGTAGGCACTGCTGAATCATCAATCTTGTGCCATGCCTTTGGATGGCACGGGTTCAGTGGTGGTTTTACATCACACGCTTGGGGTCGTTATGGGCCTCCAAGAGGCCGAAATGGTGACCAGAGGGCGGAATCGACCCTCAGGAACCAAAAATGCACCATTAGCACCACTGTTGCTTTAGGCATTAAATACGCGGTGGCTGACCTCGAAAGAGAAGATGGTGACAATCTTAACAGCACTGAAACATTTTCCCGAATCTCCGCTCAGAACACATGAAACTACTCACGATATGGAGTCCCAGAACCTTCCCGTACCCCTACAGAACTTTATTCCTTATTTTAGGGAAAAGGCTGTGTCAGGGGCTGCTGTGCATGAGGTGATGGCGAGATTTCATGCCCATGAAACCAGACTCCGACAAATTTATGCCCAGGACACTGAAAGCCACATGATTGCAGATCCATACAGCAACACGGTTCCCATATTCGCCAGGTACGAACATCTTTTGACCATTCGGGCCCGCCAAGCCGACTCCGAGTCGACAAGGGAGCAAGAGCAGTATATCTTTCCCTTGGACGTCGCTGATCGACGAGAGACGGGCTCGTTGGCCGTGGTGAGGTCGCTGGTCGACTTCCAAAGGAATTTCCGGATCTTCTCCGAATGGTCCCTCGACGATTGGCATAATATAGTCGTCGCTGGCGGCGCGGTGACAACCTGTCTGCTTCCCGTACCCCTGCCGCACAACGCCTCCGATGGTGCTCTTCGGTACGTCCTTATGATCCAGGTTTTCCGGGCTGACAGCTTCGCTAATGCATATGCTCCGCAGGAAGTATTACCACAAAGCAGTTTGCTCCCGCTTCCGATATTGATATTTTTATCTATGGACTCAATGAGCCGCAAGCGATTCAGAAGATGGAGCATATCAAAGCTTGCATCCGCGGTAATGTTCTCGGCGAAGCCACGGTAAGCCCTGATCACATCGTCTGCGTGGTTTCTGGAGTGCTCACTTCGTCCCTGCAGGCTGTTCGAACCCGCAATGCGATCACTATTATCTCCAGGTACCCCACGCGCCACGTGCAGATCGTCCTCCGCTTGTACAGAAACATATCTGAGATTCTGACCAGGTTTGATGTTGACTGCGCTGGCGTCGCGTTTAACGGATCCCAGGTCTGGGCGACACCCCGTGCGTTAGCTGCCTTTATGACGCAGGTCAACACGGTGGACTTCACGCGATGCTCACCCTTGTACGAAAACCGTCTCGCCAAGTACGCGAAGCGGGGCTTTGAAGTCTTGTGGCAGGGCTTTGATCGGTCCAAGATCGATCGGACCATCTTCGACCGTGACGCCAGCCAGGTAGTGGGCTTAGCTCGTCTTCTTGTGCTGGAGAAGGGATGGATAGAGAGAAACGGCCGTTCCGGCTCAGGTGTAGACTCGTCTTCCCATAGAGATCGACGGGCGGGTGTCTGTGACGGAGAAGACAGTTCGGAGACGTCGAATTATGAATTCATCTGCATACCTTACGGTCCTGGATACGACGCTACAAGGGTAAGGAACCAGCTTCCACTTCACATTGTACTCCGCATTGACAACGTTTGTAGATTACAAAACGGCTCCAGAGGATCGAACGCCGCCTCAACAGGGCGCGCCCAGGGATGTCGTCGACAAAGTTGCATCGTCACCCATGTTTCGTCGGATCCGTCAAGGATGTTGTGTTGGATTGTTGCAGTTCGTGTCCGGACCCTGAGACAGAGACTGACATGGCCATGGAAGCCGAAAACTCAAGGAGATACGTATCCGGAGCGGTGCGGTTTTTGAAGGTTCAACACTGGAGTCCCATCATTATTACTCGAATTAGAGGACTGTGGTGATGGTCCGACGTTGACTAAGTTCATCTTAATTAAGGGCGGAATGTTCCCCCGGTCCGGACACTCAGATCCTGCAGAATAAACCATACCCCATTCTTGTTATCTAGATCTGTCAAGCGGAATGCACTTGTGCTTAGACTGCCGATCAGATTCCTTGTGAACATCTCGCCTGGCGCTGCTGACAGTAACGGATAAACCTGTGGGTAGTACGCTGCCTGCGGATTTCCCCCGTAGGGATCCTGATACGGCAGCGGCTGCTGCCAGTAAGGATTCTGGGAATATGGTGGATATGTTGGGGAGATGTTCTGTAGGGGTGGTGGGTAGGAAGACGGCGTGGCCATGGAGATGGATTTTTGTCTCCTCTTTTTGTCTTCTCACCCTGTGTGTACCTGTTTCCTAGTTTCTCCTTTTCTTCCTCGCGCTAGGATTTTCGTACATAGTCGTTCATAGCGAATCGATGCGAGGTTCCTTATAAAAATTTATATCAATGGAGTCGATCCCTGGTCCTTGATGAATGTGATGGGGGAAGCCTGCATTCTGTATTATCGTAGGTATCTAAGGAGTCACTTAGTCTGGGTGACCGTCGAAGAGGCATCTTGAGTACTGCAACAGTGCTTAAAGTTATAATATTTTTTATAAAAATAAGCTAAAAGACCAGGTACTATACTACCTATATAATAGTAACTATTACAGATTAATATTAGTACTACTAATTATTAGTTAATTTTTAGGTAAGTATTTAGATACAGTATATACCGTCATAGTCATGCTGAGAAAAAAAAAAAGAGACTGCTATAGGACTAAAAATTATAAAGGATAGGATAAACAAGACGACAGATTGGGAATATAATAAAGCCATTGGAATTAGACGGTTATATTTAAAAAAAAAAGCTTCTTTAGTTTAATAATATTCCCTCTCTAATAATATCCCTATCTTCCCTCTAGTTTATTATTACTAAACCACGTCTTTCCTGTTCGGTGGTGCCTAGGTAAGCAGGCGAGTGATGGTCATGACTCATTTATGGACGAGTGATGGGCTGACTAGGGCTGCAAAAACTAGCCATAGTGGTCTTTGGCTAACCCTCACACCTTCAGGCCTATTATATTTTAATATTAATAATATTCTCTGCTAAAATAGTCTCTCTTAGTTGATCTTCAGCCCTGCATTAAACATAATACATACATGATCGCGTCACTACCAGGCACAGCGCTGTCACAGTTCAATTCTCCTAACTTCGAATTAGACAATCAAGTCCACATATTGATATCAACTCCCCTCCGCGGTATGGGCTCTTAGAACATGCCCATAGCAGCAGCCGCCGCGACGGCAGCAGCAGCACCAGCACCAGCACCGCCCATGCCCATGCGGCCAGCAGCTGCCCCATGCGGCGTCTGGGTCGCCTGGGGCCGATTGAGCTTGTCGACGCCGGCGGTGACAGTCAGCGGGCGGTAGTAGATCTCGTCGGACGCGAAGGAGGTGGCGGTGGCCGTGTTCGTCGATGTTGAGATGCCATCACCGCTAATCTCGATGCCGAGAGAGACGGAGCAGGAGGCGCCCTGGGTCGAGGACGTGATGTGGCAGTTCTGCATCAGCGTCATCTCGGCGTCCACGCCGTCGGTCTGGGTCGAGAAGACAGCACTCAGGGTATAGGTGGATGGGCCCTCGGTCACTGTCACGGGCGATTTGAGCGCACACAGCTGCTCATCTGTGCACTCCAGGGCCAACGTCGTGGCGGCCGCATTTGCATCCACCACGCTGGCATCCACCCCATTCAAAGGCACTTGTGTCGGGCCCGCACCGAAGATCTGGATGGTTGTGGTGCTGCTCTGGGCCGAGACAACGGCCGTAAGGGCAGCGGCGGCGGAGAGGATGTAAGAGCTGGCAGAACGCATCGTGATCGTAATTTTTGTTCGTTCCTAAGAATATGGTGCTGCAGGAAGGAAGTTCCGCCGTAGAGATCAGAAAAGAGTGTTTGTTCCAAGAGTCGAAGATAGAGGGATGATTATTGTTATTCACAAGAAACGAAAAAAAAAAATCACACAAAAACTGACTCAACGGAACTTGCCCTCCTCTTATACCCCGTAAAAACGCCTCTATCACTTCCCCTAAATACGAAATTCCACTACAACAGGCCAATAATACTCTGTAATGCCCAAATCACCGTTGGCGCAGCAAGCAAATTCAAGGTTGCTAGTTTGGGGACTAATATGCGGCTCGCGCACTACACGGCCAAGTCCTCGTATTTCCCAACGGGTGGCTTAACATTCTTCTCATCATTGGCGCAGCTAACTACCTAGGTACCTAGCCTATACCTAGTATAGGCTAAGTAGATAGGCAGCTTGGCTCAGTGATGCTGAGAGGAGATCAGCTGCCAAGAACGACAAAGGAAGACACACCAGAACCTTGGATTCAGGAAAAAAAAGTAAGGATTTTAACTTTTGTATAAGAAAAGAAGATAAGCAAATACTCACTTTGTCCAGCCCTAAGCTCAGAAACAGATACTGGACCTAAAAAGCTGGAGAGAGTGAGAGTTAGGTTAAATGCTCACTTTACCCGACCTATATATAAATAAGATGTGAAATGTAGCTTAACCCTGATATAACCCCAATAAACCTTAACCCCTTGTTCCTTCCCTCTTTTACTCTAGTAACCCTAGATCTAACTAAGGTTGGACTGTTAAACAAGTTTACCTATATGTTGGACAAAGTGAGGGTTTGACCATTCTGAGTTATAGGTCAGATCAGGTCAGACCAGGTCAGGTTAGGTTACCTATGGGCCGGAAAAAGTGAGGATTTCACTATTTAACCAGACCAGCTAAGACTAAGATGGCCTGTTTCATCAAATTAATTCGTCCAGGAGAGTACAGTATATCTTATCAGCGTCGCGTGCTTCCCCGCGGTGGTGTGTTCGTCCACACAGGCGCCTGGTACGACGGCTGGGAGACGCGGCGACACAACCCTGAACCGTACGACTGGGTCGTGATCAAGCTGGGCGTTGCGAGCGGCGCCATCGAGGGCGTCGAGGTCGACACGGCTTATTTCGTGGGGAACTACGGCGAGAAGGCGGCGCTGCAGGCTACGTATGCCCCGGATGTCAGCGACGAGGAGGTCGCCAAACCTGACTACCAGGGGTGGACGACCATCCTGCCTCTCCAGCCCTGTGGCCCCTCGCAGCGTCAGGCCTGGAAGCTCGACAACTACGACCCGGCCGACCCGAACCCCTACACGCATGTCCGTCTGCTGATGTACCCCGACGGAGGGTTCGCCCGGTTGCGGCTCTACGGCCATGCCATTCCCCCGCCATTGCCTCCTGCTGCTGCTTCTAACCCGACGGCACGTCCGGTGGAAGAGCTCTCGTCCGCGCGCTGCTGGGAGGCCTGGCGCTCGCGGCGTCAGATCAACACTACACGCCGTGCTCGAACCTGCTGCTTCCAGGCCGGGGCAAGGACATGGGTGACGGGTGGGAGACAGCGCGCTCTCGGGCTCCAGGACACGTCGACTGGGCGATAATCCGCCTGGGTCTGCCAGGCTCAGTGAGCAAAGTGGTGGTCGACACGAAGGACTTCCGGGGCAACTTCCCGCGTGCCATCCGGGTGCATGGACTTGTTCAGAGCGATAATGCAGTCGACGAACCCAGCCACGACCACCCCGGATGGGTGGAGCTGGTCAAGGGGGAAAAACCCACCCACCCAGGCCGACACGGAGCATGTCTTCGAGGGCGCCGATCTGGCGGCCGGTGGTGAGGACACCCGCGTCTTCACGCACGTCAAGCTGACCCTCGCCCGGACGGAGGAGTGAAGCGGCTGCGCATTTTTGGCAGGAGGGCAGTTTGATATCTACCTTGATCCCTGTGTATCTGTATATAACTGTCGACAGAAATCAACTGACTATCAGCAAGAAATCACACCAACTACGAGTAAGCCACTATTCACAGAAAAGTTACTCTAATTTTCCGTCTACTGGGCAGAAAATGATAAGATAAATACTTATTATGTATGTACATACACAAAGTACATACATAAACTGGCTTATCGCTACAGAACGCCATCCCGGTTCCCTCTGCAAACTAAATCTAATATATCGCAGAAACAAGGCCGAAAGACAAATCCGTCATAAACCTCGTGGGATATCCAGGAAGAAAAGCAGCCCAACTCCAACGCGTGCCCCAAAAATAACAGACCCAAATCGTTCATAATTCCATGCCAACAGGTGACGATCTCCCATCATTATCGTGTCCAGCAGATAGATCCACTAAAAAAAAAAGTCCAACATAAAATAATATATGAATTACGCCTTAGAAGTATAGAAGAACGGCGTTGAACGAGACAAATGAAGAAATCAAAGTAGTGCAGGGTCCGTTATGAACTCTGCGTATCGATGCTCTCCAGCTGAGTTTTAGATTCATTCGACACGCCATTCGTAGCAGACGCGCCCGATCCTATACTGCCATCGGAGAGTTGCTGATTGTCCTGTGACGGCTCCCGTGATGGCTCCGGACAGCAGTTCATAGGCAGTTTTCATCCGATTACAGACGCTGACTGGACGGAGGCTACATACATTTCCGAAACCGTGTCCGGAAAGGTGTTTTGAGACGACGTTATTAGGGGGTTCAACCTGTTCTGATTCTATCTGATCTTGATTTGCTACCGTCGTAACGTTGAGGATTGCAGATAGATTGGTGTCAAGATTAGACTGTACTACAGTTTTGTCTCCATGAACAAAAGACCTCAGAATTAAAAATAGAGAAGCCCAGACGGGTCTGCGATCGCCATTTGCAACCTATATGCGAGCCCGAAAAGAGACCTGATCATCCATTACCAAAATTCAACCTGCTACCACGACGGCGCTTCTGGCGAATTCATATATATATATATATAAAAGCCAACTCGTTCGCGCAGATGTCGATTGATTGCCTACTCCTTGAAGCACCGAACATGGAACACAAGGACAAGCAGCCATCCACCCCGAATCGCAAGCCACTACCGCCTGGTCCCATTACTACTCGACAGATTCGCCAGCATGGACAATCCACAGCCATTCAAGGGGCGCAGCGGCGCCTTGAAGCCTTGCAACAGCAAGGAACATCTCACGTGGATGCTCGAGTGGCAGAATTGTTTCATCTACTGGAGGAAAACTCAAGGTTAAGGGAACGAGCTGGCTTACATCCATCAATTGCAAAGCGCAAACAGAAAGCTGATGGAAAATGTCGGTGCCATTTCTGGACTTCTCCAGCAGGCAGTCTTGGACTATCGGGCTGAACAAAAGAGACTTGATGACGAGTTCATTCGGAGAACGCAGATTTAAGTGAGAAGGCATCGCAGAATGTCCCAGAGAGGCAATTCGCTGACCACGGACAGCGCACGTTTCAAGCGAAAACAGTAAATGGCCAGGAAACATGGACGAGAAAGGAAAGACGACCAATTGTGGATGACTTGTGAGAACCATCTAAGCCACGATGGGGGAATTCCTGGGTACCTCGAATTTCCTAAACCAGAATTGACTACATCAAGTCCAACCAAATCACCTTGCTAAGGTAACATCAAATTCTATTCACTTCTAGAATCAGGAATTGTCAACTCTGTTGTTTGAGTCCCATTTTTGCCTAGAATACTTCCGGCAGAAGCAAAATCGGACACTGGGATCAGAATCTGTAGCTTCAAGGAGTGCTTTTCTGACAGTAATGTTCCAAGCCTCCCCGAAGTCTGAAAACGGCATTAGGGATCAAAATATGAGATCATAGCACCTAATAATAACAACATGCAGGAACGGACACCAGGCAAATGGTATGAATGGCCTTTCTCTGCCTCTAAATAAATGCATCTAGGAGACAGAAGAAACGCTCAGTGCCAGCCATCCTCAGACCAGTCACCATGGGAAAGCAAATGTCGCTAAAGGATCGCAGAGCAAGAGATCGCAAGAGGAGAGAAGGAGTGATCAGCAAAGCCCATCAATATTGGAAAGTCTGCAATGGCGACATAGCTGTCTTCATGCGGAACGAAGAAGGGAAATGCAAGACATATCTATCACCCAATCTAAAGTCGCGGAGTCCATTTCAGCAAATCGTATGTCCTTCTCTACTACTCATCCTCAATGGAAACTAACATGCAAAACAGGAGCGCGAAGAGCCCTGGATAGCTCATTGATCTCCCCGATGATCTCGATGATAAAGGAAGGAAGAAGAGGAAGAGACGCATAATGAAATATCAGAAGAAGTCCTCTCCTGCAGAAACACGTCAAGAGGATGACTGTGATGTACCGACGTTTCCAGAACTTCCTTCCATTGAATCCACGAGCGATGAAGACGAGTGGCGGCTCCTTGAACATTATACGAACAGCCAAATAGGAGGGGACGAAGGAATGGGCGGATCAATCTACAATATTCGGGATGACGAAATGGCACCCGTGCAGTCGGAGATGCAGCCAGTCGACGCAGGACCAGATGCAATGCCACGCCTCCCGGAACCACCCACGGTTGATCTCCTCGACGATATAGCCGGCTATCCTGATTTCAACTAACCCTTGCAAACATCGCGAGAGGTGTATGATGTTGTGGGGCATATGGGCAATATCTAGCTTTCAGATCCACGATGTTTTTATTTCGAAGTTGAGAGCTAGAGTTTCAGAGTGTCTGGCCTAGCTAGAAGATAGAATGTGACATCGAAAATGTAAAAGAAAGTTTCCTTGAATGAGACCACCGTTAAGCTGACCTATACGTTCGGAGAGCTAAAGTTTAGATAGGTAACGACACCCTCGAGCATTACCAGCAAGTAAGTAGTAGGTTGGGTCAGTGGGACCGAGAGTGTCTCGCAAAGGAAGCATGTTTCCTGGAACCCTTTCCCTGAGCATGAGTGCACTCAACAAACCGCACCAAACCCACGGTGCATTGCGTTGCTTGCAGTCGAAGAGCAACAGGGGACGGACTAATATTACAGAGTATGATATTTTTTTTTTATTGCGGGATGAAGGAGAATACATCATCCGCCCAGTTCCTCTAGTTGAAGTAAAACTCGCTGACTACAATCAGATCGCCACAGGATTACGCAACCCAACAAGCATCAATATCGACACACTCACGTTGCTGGTGCTTCTGCTGATGCAAAAATACGTACGAAGCCGCTAGGGGTTGTGCAGCGATCGAGTCCAAAAAGGGTTCTGGCTGATGCTGCGATGTAGCTGATTAACCCCAACGCACATGCATAATCGGTAGGGCTTGAACATAGATCTGCAGCCGCTCAGATGTCCATTCTTAGCGCCGGCCTGAGAACCCTTTACTGGAAAGTGGCAGAGCCTGGAAAGCATTCTGCGGGGTGCCACAGCCACATTTTTCTAATCCTGGGTGCTGTCGCTGACGTTCCTGCTGACTGCTCCAACTTTGTCAAGTGTCATGTTAGATCCAACTCAACACTGTCTTCTTATAACCCCCGGCCAAGCAGAAACCAGGGCAAGGGTGGCTTGTCAGAATCGACACCTCGGTCGCTGGTTCAGCTGAGTTGAATAGCAAGAATGAAGGCGTCTGTACCTCTGGCATTTGTTTTCATCCATGATTCTGTCACACCCCCCGTATAGTCTGCTCTATATTTAGCACTATCGAAGAAATCGTTACCTCTACCTTCTAATTCAGATTTCAGCTTTCTTACGGTATCCACCGCCTGCTAATAATTTTAGAAATTTTGGGGCCAACATTCTTGAATATCCGCGTTGTGGAGATATGCCCATTAAGAATTTCTCCGACCCCTGTATGTCGCTGATATTGATGACTCCTAAGTTATAAGTCATGATGCCTGCAACTCCCTTTCAGCCCAGCTATTGGTGGTTCAGGAGCAAGAGAGACAAGCGTCTCCTCCCTTCTAGTGTGAGATGACTGTTTTGTTCTTCTCTATTTAACGGCATTCTCCCAAATCTTGGACAGCTCGATCAACTGCTAATCACAAATCCAGTTGGACAGACTGTATACCAGGCCGAATAGATTCTCCAAGGAAAGGCTCGAAGGCCCTCCAACCACCTGCATCGTCTCCTAAATATACACGTCTAGACATGTCTACCGAACGCAAGTCAAGCGTCGCCGCCAGTGACGTGAAGGAGAAGCGACGAGTACAGAACCGCCAGGCTCAACGCAGAAGGCGTAAGTTTCTGTCTCCCTCTGTTTTTCTTTGACTTATTCGAACAGCAGTTGTGGACTGCAACAGGACAGAGGCTTGCAACCCGATTTGCGGCTCTGGAGGCTAAGGTTACAAGGCTGACGACCCTCTTGAGAGAGAACGGGATGGGTCCTGAACTCTTGGATTCTGAGGGTTGTGATGACTACACTAACCCCACCGCCTGCTCACGAGAAGAGACTGTGACCGAGCCATTGAATGTCGTCCCCGAATCGACATCCCCATCAACAACATCGAATCAGATCCTGACTGCAAACCTGGCAGAGATAGTAGCAAACATTCAATTTTGCTCGATGGCGGATGGCGAGAGGACAATTGTCCCGTCTTATGCGCCCGATTCGAATCCGTTCTCCGAAACCATCCGTCCTACACAGGGCGTTCGCCGACTAGGCGATACTTGGTTCGATGTCGGCTACGAAGGATCTGGG